GCAAAATGAATTAAATAGAAGATTCTCAAAAGAAGAAATACAAATGGCTAATGCATACCTGAAGCAGTGTTGAAAACCTTAGCCATAAAGGAAATGCAAATCAAAACTACACTGAGATTCCATCTCATCCCAGTCAGATTTACCACCATCAAGAAAACAAACAACAAATGCTGGTGAGGATGAAGGGGGAAAAGAAAACCCTCCTACATTGTTGGTGGGAATGTAAACTAGTGCAACCACTAGGAAAATAAGTGTGGAGGCTTCTGAAAAAACTAAAAATAGACCTACCTTATGACTACTCTTGGGCATATACCTGAAGGAGTATAAAAAGACACCTGCATGCCCATGTTTTATTACAGCTCTCTTCACAATAGCCAAACTGAGAAATCAGCTGAGGTGCCCAACAACCTATGAATGACTAAAAAAATGTTAACACACACCCATACATACAACACCCACCCCATGGAATATTAGCCATAAAGAGAAGTGAAATTATGTCATTTGCAGAAAAATGGATGGAACTTGAGATCATCATACTGAGTGACATAAGCCAAGCTCAAAAGGCCAGATGTTCTTGCTCATTTGTAGAACCTAAAATGATAACAGGACATGAACATATGTGATGGACTTGGGGGGAGGGATCATCACCCAGGGGGAAGGAAGAAAGGACACCAAGTAGTGAAGAGGATGGAAGATAGCACAGCCAGGTGCTAGTGTCTCATACCTGTAATCCTTGCTACTTGGGAGGCTGAGATTGGGCAGATTGAGGTTCAAGGCCAGTCTGAGCAAATAGTTCAGGCACCCCATCTCTGAATCACCAGAGCAAAATAACTGGAGATATGGCTCAAGTGGTGGAGCACCTGCTTTGCAAGCACAAAGCCCTGAGTTCAAACCTCAGTTCCACCAAAAAATAAAAAAAAAAGAGCGTAATGAAACCCTATTTGAAAGTTGGAGAAAGGGAAGAATGGGAATATAACAGAGGGGTGAACTCGTTTGAGGTACACTGTACACACGTATGGAATTACTACGATGAAATCCCCTCATTGTTAATGTATGATAAATCAAAAATAAAATTTAAGACTCAGTGACAGGCTAAAAAACAGATGACGGTTACATTCCCCCAAAATAAAAGGACAAAATGCATTTATTTATCTCAGTTAATACCAAGCATCTACTTATTTTTAAAAAGTTAATTGATTAAAAGTTCTTAGAACAGGAGACCCTTAGTAGCACCTTCAAAATAAGGAAGTCTGATTCTCAGGTCCAGCCAGTTTTATGCTCAGTGATAGATTGTTGGAAACATTTTCAGTGAAATCAAGAATAAGCAAAGATACACCCCCCATTAGCATGTCAGGAGCACTGAGCCAGTGCAAGAAGACAAGAAATTGGAAAAGAGGCATAAAGAGTTGAAAAGAAGGCAGTGGCAAAATGATTTTTCTGCAGATAATATTTTGTTCCTGAAACTAAGACCTATTAAAAGTAAAATGGTGTTCTGTAAGGTGGCTTTTACATTATTAAAGGCTCATTTATTGGGCTCTTCCTTCATGACTGGAACTTTGAAAGACTTCAAATAATATACTCCCTATTATCATTTGATCTTTACCATGCCTAGAAGGTAAAATAAATTTTATATGCATTTCACAGATGAGAAGACTGAAGCTTAGAGAAGTTTAGTAATTTGATCACACTTAAATATTGAGAAAGTGGCGAGACTGGCTCTCAAACCCAGCCTATCTGACCTCCCAGGCCAAATTTGAACTACTGCTGCCACAGTGCAGTTGTGTGGTCTTGGACAAGTCAGTTCATTTCATTATCTCTGAACATGTGATTGATTATATTATGTCAGAAATCTGAGGCCCTGTGGTGCTAGTATGTGGGCCCAGGGAATTGGGTTTGTGCAGGGACCAGAACTGTCCTCCATCTGGGGAGCCTGGGCATGCACATTTGTGTGTGACTGGGTCATTCTCCTAGCCTTGTCATGTTTGGAGGTCAGCTGGGTTGGTTAAAAGAGAACAATAAAGGTTTTCTAACTTATTTTATTTTGTGTATTACACTTATAAATAGGTAACTCAGCTATCAGGACTGGGTGCAAGTGCCTGTGTTGATTTAGCCTTTGGTTTTAGGCCCCTTCTTGGAGGTTCAGAGGCGGTGATCAGGGACATTTTGCCTAACTACCTCTCTGTTCTGGAACAGACATAGGCCAGATGGATGGGAATATAGGAATGGCAGATGTACCAATGTCTAGAACCTGGAAGTAACCACTGTGTCTCTAGAGCCTCTGACCACAGAATGACCATTTAAACCTTTCTCTTGTGTTGCTCCTACAGTAACTAGAAGCTCAAACCAAAGCACACTGGGTCCTGCCTTCTTACCATAGGTTATTTTTCTCTGGTTCTCCACTATGCTGATGGTGGCTTCTGTTTTCCCTCTCTAGGTATGGAGAGAAGGGAAAAGCCATCCGGATCGAGAAGGTCATCTACACCGGGAAGGAGGGAAAGAGTTCCCGGGGCTGCCCCATTGCCAAGTGGGTGAGTGTTGAGTCCCCACATCCATGTAGTGCCTGGCTCTCCTTGCCCCTTGATCTTGCAGAGCAGGTTGCAGACAATGCAGGAATGTGTAGGAAACAGATACACAGGAGATGCACTACCAGGAGACCCTGGAGCCAATGCCCAGTGCTTGGTTAGGGTCATTTTCTCCTAGGACCAACTGTTTGTCTTTGTCTTGATTAAATGCCAGCCCCTCGAATCCTGGGCTCTCATAACTGTTAATCATTATGCTTAATTCATGTGGCCTCTGGTTCAGGGATGTAGGGGTAGGGACAAGAGGAGCTGGAGACGCTGCCATTGCTCAGTGCTGGTTCCCTGAGTACGCTGACTTCTCTCCCTTCTGTTTGTAACCTGGAGCAGCCAGTGCTTCTGACCTTCATCCAGAAGCCAAGGAAGAAACTGAAGTCTGGTCTACTGTGACCCAGCCTGAGGGATGAGGCAAGGCCTCTGGGCAGTATTGTACGTGCCTCTGAGCTGCTGCCCAGAAAGCCTGGGCATCTCAGCAAGGAAAGTATCACTGGACACTGACCCCAGTTCACCAAACAAAAATTCTCCTGCCCTGCCTTTCTGGCCACAGGGAGCTCTTGAAATAATGAAACATCTGC